TCTCTCTCTCTCTCTCTCTCTCTCTCTCTCTCTCTCTCTCTCTCTCTCTCCTCCTTCGTCATCCTTTTCTTTTTCTTTTTTTTTCATCGACGTATCAAGAAACCGGCAGATCCTTCTCCTCCTCCTCCTCCTCCCTTTGTCTTCTTCTCTCCTCCTCCTTTCTCCTCCTCCTCCTCCTCCTCGTTAGTTTTCTTTATCAATCGAAGTGCCACGTGCCATGTGTCAGCCGAAGTTCCTCCTCCTTTCTCCTCCTCCTCCTCCTCTTCCTCCTCCTTCGTCATCTTTTTTTTTTTTTTTTTTTCCTGTCAACGCAACTCAAAATCGGCAGGTCCGCCACCTCCTCCTCCTTTCAACTTCTTGTCTCCGCCTCCTCCTCCTCCTCCTCCTTATCCTCCTCCTCATCTCTCTCCTCCTCCCCCTCCCTTCTTCTTCTCTCCTCCTCCTCCCCCTCCCTTCGTCTTCTTCTTTCCTCCTCCTACTCCTTTCTGCTCCTCCTCCTCTTCCTCCTCCTTCGTTATCTTTTTTTTTTTTTTTCCGTCAACGCAACTCAAAATCGGCAGGTCCTCCTCCTCCTCCTTCGTCATCTTTTTTTCTTTTGTTTTGTTTTGTTTTCCATCAACGCAACTCAAAATCGGCAGGTTCTCCTCCTCCTCCTCCTGCTCCTCCTCCTCCTCCTCTCTCTCCTCCTCCCCCTCCCGTCGTCTTCTCTCCTCCTCCTCCCCCTCCCTTCGTCTTCTTCTCGCCACCTTCTCCTCCTCCTCCCTAAGTCTTCTTCTTCTTCTTCTACTACTACTACTTCCTCTTCTCCTTCTAAGTCTTCTTCTTCTTCTTTTTTTCCGTCAACGCAACTCAAAATCGGCAGGTCCTCCTCCTCCTCCTTTCATCTTCTCGTCTCCTCCTCCTCGTCTTCCTCCTCCTCCTTCTCCTCCTCATCTCTCTCCTCCTCCCCCTCCCTTCTTCTCTCCACCTCCTCCTCCTCCCCCTCCCTTCGTCTTCCTCTCTCCTCCCCCTCCTTTCTCCGCCTCCTCCTCTTCCTCCTCCTTCGTCATCATTTCTTTTTCTTTTTTTCCGTCAACGCAACTCAAAATCGGCAGGTCCTCCTCCTCCTCCTCCTCCTCCTCCTCCTCCTCGTCCTCCTTTCATCTTCTTGTCCTCCTTTCTCCTCCTCCTCCTCCTCCTCTCTCTCCTCCTCCCCCTCCCTTCGTCTTCTTCTCTCCTCCTCCTCCTCCTTTCTCCTCCTCCACTCTATTTCATTGGTTTTCTTCAGCAGGCTAAGTGCCACATGGCAGAAGCAGTGTGAATAGAACTGCCACGTGTCTAGAGTTCTCTCTCTCTCTCTCTCTCTCTCTCTCTCTCTCTCTCTCTCTCTCTCTCTCTCTCTC